AGCCGCGCATTTTGTTTACTGCTACAAGTTCGTGCTTATTGACATTGACCTTGACTACCAGTACCACTCTATACCGTTTTACTATCCATTATTTGATCGCGTTCCGCTTTTGCGTAGCCGCACGTCGACAAGCTTAGTGTTTCATACTGACTAAATATTAGAGTTAGCTTATTTCTTCTTGTGTTCATTCCCGTTTGCCAGTTTGTGTGTTTTTTTCGTTTCGTTTGTAATGGATATAAGACAGTTTTTCAATGTTAAAAACAAAAGGCCTCGGCTTGAGGCTGAAACAGGGGATGCAAATCCGGACGTAAACGCCATAAACCCCACGGAACTTACGGAACTCTCAATATCTCCTACAAGTTGTAATAGCGGATTGCATAAATCTAATACACCGAAGATAAACGAAGCTGTCACAGCTATAGCATCAACATCAACATTTTTTGCAACACCAGAATTACAAGTACCTGAAGTTTTCATTCAGGTTCCGGGAAATGATTGTGATTTGTCTAAACGCGGAGATCCGATTAAACAAATCCAAATGAAAAACTATTAAAATTTAACAATAGAAGTAACAGAAAACTACAACTGTTTTAAACATTTCAAATTTTACTTAATGTAAGTAAAAACAAGAAGTTCTGTATTGTCAATTAAATCGTACATTATTATATTAGTGTGTACTCTATTATTTCACAAAAATACTGCTAGCCTTTTTAGACCCCCCACCATACGATCGTGTCTTCACAAGCCCTTCTAACAAAGCATAATGCCCTTCCTAGTACTAACATCTGGCTACGGCCCTGCTGTGTACTGCACAAAGCACTCTCGAACATACTTCTAATTTTATAAGAAAAAGAATACGTAACTTCGATGACAAATTTTTGTTATAAAGAGACCCTTTTATTTTTCAAGTTACAACGCTTGACTTTGTAAATTTGCTTTGCCTTAAGATTTAACATTAATGTGTTTTTTGTTACGTACAATAACAACCGTAAAAATGCTTACTGACTTAACGACTTAAGGAAGCATAAATACTGTCAATAACGCTAACGACTTATTTAGGTAACCTGTGCAGTTATTAAATGTAGTTGTTTTCTAATCCCAAAAGAAAACACGTTCTTTGAATATACCACTCGGGGTAGAAGTTGTTAATCCATTCCTTTTACATCGCAAATTTTGTTTCTTGAACTATGACGTGAAAAAATGTCAAATCTAACAACTACCTGCTTGCAGTTTGGTATTTAGATTATTTAGAAAGTACGAATATTTTAGGTATATAACTTTTATAATAAGATATTAATATAATTAAACGTAAACGAAATTAAAATATGATTTTTTTATTAAACAAAGAACATTATTCGAGTTTCGATATACGGTAAAGAATACAATATTATTAAAATCAACTATTCATATGAGGCATACGATTGAGACTGTTCCCTTCAGTCCCGGGCCGATGGTAATAACCTGCGACATCGAACAATGGAACCACGGATGTTTAGACTACGTCCAGACTCGCGGCGCCCAAAATTGATACATTAATAGAAATATAACAATAATAACGTGCTCTTCTTGTCTGAGGAATGTCGGAGTCCCTTAGGTTCACTCTGTGTTATTTATGAAACTAAGATTTAAAATTGAAAGGAAGATAACTATGCAAATACAAAGCACAATTTACTACATAACAAGCACAATTAATTGCGTTTAAAATCAATTTGAATTTTTGAAAAAACTGGGGGGCTGAGCGTCAAGTTAACCCTCCAGAATTGATATAAAAACTGGCTACCGGCTGACTGAATAAAAAAAATTTCAACGGCACAATTAATTACGCAACGAGCACAATTCATTTTAGTTGAAATTAGTTAAAATTTCTAAAAAAAACCGGGGGCTCAGCGTCAAATTAGCCCCCAAAATAGATTTTATAAAAAAAACAGCCACCGGTTGATTACATTAAAAAATTTTTACAGCACAATTCACTACACAACGAGCACAATTCATTTTAGTTGAAATCAGTTGAAATTTGTAAAAAAAACCGGGGGCTGAGCGTCAAGTTAACCCCCCAGAATTGATTTTATAAAAACTGGCTACCCGCTGACTGCATCAAACAAATTTTAACGGCACAATTAATTACACAACGAGCACAATTAATTTTAGTTAAAATCAGTTTAAGTTTGTAAAAAAAACCCGGGGGCTGAGCGTCAATTTAACCCCCCAGAATGGATTTTATAAAAACTGACTACCGGCTGACTGTATTAAAAAAATTTTAACGGCACAATTAATTTCGCAACAAGCACAGTTCATTTTAGTTGAAATCAGTTGAAATTTGTAAAAAAAAACCGGGGGCTGAGCGTCAAGTTAACCCCCCAGAATTGATTTTATAAAAACTGGCTACCGGCTGACTGCATCAAACAAATTTTAACGGCACAATTAATTATGCAACAAGCACAATTCATTTTGGTTGAAATCAGTTGAAATTTGTAAAAAAACCCGGGGGCTGAGCGTCAAGTTAGCCCCCGAATTTTTTAACACGGGTTATTTTTTTTTATAGCCTGCACAAATTTAGATATTTGCGGCACAGTGTAGCACAATCCCAGCACTATTAAAAAATGTGTCTTAATATATTTTTTTTCATTTTCGGGGGCTAACTTGATAGATTATGATATCAGTGAAGATAATATTATTATATGTAGTGTCATTCAAAGAAACGGCGAAAGCTGTGTATGCAGTGTAGGAAAGTCTCCTAATATGAGGATAGTGCCTAATATGGGGTAGATCAATTACTTCGAAACTACAACTCCGACAATTCGGAAAAAAAATATGTTTTACGAATATCAATAGATATAGCCGGTGCGTTTGATAATGTGTGGTAGCCGGCTATTCTATATGAATTAGGAAAAATTAAATGTGATTTATCAATACAGAAAATTATTAAAAATTATTTAACGGACCGAATTACAGTTTATAGTAATAAATATCAGAAAATAACAAAAGAAATCAGTAAAGGTTGTCCACAAGGATCAGTATTAGGACCTACTTTTTGGAATATTATTTTTAACAATAGTTTTCAAGAGAATGTCAAAAAAATTGCATATGCAGATGATAAAATTTTTATACCTAATTGAAGAAAACTCAAGAAAAAAATTAGAAGATACTGGAAATGGATATTAAAAGACCCCCTACAATAAAAATTTATAATAAACAAATAAAAAATTTCGAATGAAATGTGATATGCGAGATTAGTATGTATGTATGTTGCTTAGTTCTCGTTCGTCGTACTTGTCTATATCTGTGTAAAAACTCTTCAAAGAAAAGTAATAAAAATGGGTGATAGGCAAATGGCCTCAGCAGCCGAAGCCTTAGGTGGGGTTTTAGTGGGTATACCTAGCAAATGGGAGAGCCCCACACTACTCTGGAACTTCCTTCTAGAGTGTGCAGAAGGAGCATTTCCCCACCAATACAAAAAAAAATATGGTTAATAATATAAAATATTTACGAATAACAATTCAAGAAAAATTAAAACAACATGCACATTCAGATCTATTCACTAACGTGGTTGACTACCGTCAATAGTTGACTTGATATCAACTAATATTCTCAATGTTGAAAATATTTGGTATTCGGTAACAGCGTTGATAAGACTGCTAATTGACATTAAAGTTGTCAATAATTACTATGTGGCAACGCTGCAAATATGTATAGTAGTTCAAATAAATCTAGTTATTCTAACCTAAATCTCACTCTTCTAACCATACTTTGAAATCGTTTCGTAATTTCCTAATTTGTTTTCGCTCATTTCATCTATAAATTAAATATGACTACAAAAAACACAAAAAGAGCTACTCCGGCACAGTTAATGTGCCTAATGGACTCTGTGGAATGCAATAACACCATTTTATATGGAAAAGGAACATCTGAAGTAAAAAAAGAAGCCTGGGAGAAAGTTGCTGCTAGAGTAAACGCTGTAGGAGGTTGTACCAAAAGTGGAGAAGGCTGGAAAAATGTAGGTAACAAGTATATTAATTTTAAGGACTTATTTACATAATTTATATGCATTTACTGTATGGAAATCACATATTAGTGCTTGTTCACAATGGACATAAGCGTAACAAAAACATAACAGATGCATAATTCATAATGTTGAATAGTAGCAAACCAACGTAGGTGTTCACAATGATTACATAATTTTTATTTTTTTGTAAATGTTTGTGTATGTTTTATGTCCTACCGAAAGGGTACATAAAAAATACATAAAGTTGGGTCGGTTTCAACTTTACGTAGGTTTTATGAAAAATCTAGTGGAATTAGGTGTATTTCTGTTGGGTACAAAGATGCAGCACTGCGCTGTTGGTTTGACATATCAGTTACTACGTCTAACGTCGATGACATCTCTTCTGCCAACATAATCTGGTTATTTTTAAATTGGTACATAGTTTTTGGCGCATTATTTCATAGTTTGGTGTTGTTTGGTCCTTCGTGTGTTGTTCTTTGATTATATCCAACACGGTATGGAAAACATATAGACGTCGAATTACTGATTAGTTTGGTGCGATTAAAACCCTAATTGTTTAATAAAGGGGACAAAAGACCTATTAAGGTGATCGAATAATCCTGGTATGAAAAAAACCATTCTTCATCATGCAGCTTCATTTCTAGACACGCTTAAATTCTTAAATTCTCCCCTTTTCTCTCGGTCTCGATTTATAGGTCTGACCCACCAACGTCGTTTTTGTTTTGTAACAACTTTGTCTCTCTGTCTTCTTAACAGTAAAAGCAATAAAACTGTTGAAATTTCCATCCATCTCAGTGACACACACATATACACCACAAATAATATTGCTATGTTCTTGACGTTTTGCCGAGTTTAAATTTTGGATTTTCGCCTACGCAGATAATTATAATCTTACGGTCACTGTGAACACTTTCTCCACCTGCGTAAAATTATGTCTTATGTCAATATTATGTTTTATGTATCTGTTATGTTTTTGTAACGCTTATGTCCATTGTGAACAAGCACTTAGAAAAAAAAAGAAATACGGGAGGGTACAACGTTAACGGATTTAGAAGAACGGTGCTCCAAATTATCTGGGTTGCCAACTGTAGCTACGGGTATGGAAACCATAACTGAACTTGGTATGCTCCCTGTCGAAGATAATATAACTATAGGGACCGTACTGGAACTACAAGATGTTGAAATTGAGCATCAACAGGAGGAAGATCTGGAGCAGGAAATGGAACAAGCTGGTCCTTCAACGATTGTGGAACCAAAAGGCACAACAGTGAAGAAAAACAGACCAAGAAAGACACCTAATGGTAAATATGTTAACATTTATAAATAATTTATGCACCTAACTCTTTTTATGCAACGTTAAATACCTACCTATTTTATAATTTGGATAACAGGAAAACTGAATTTGTTCTTTATTAGTGAATAAATTAATTGTTTATATAAATTCACATACAGGGTGACAATTTGAAAACTTACCACCCCCCATATCTTAGTAAATAAACGAGATATTTAAAAAAATCAAAATCCGTTTCGGTAATTCGGTGGGGGAATCACAATGACATAGTTGGCGACGCACCCCCTCCAACCCCCTGCGCCCCAGCCACCCCAACTTTTAAATCTTAAATAGTGACCCCCCATGTGTGATATGTCGTTGGAAAGCTCTGAAAAAATGCTTTCCAGTCATACCAAATAGCATTACATTTAGGTTAGTAATTATCGTGCAAATCAAAAAATAAACTAATATGATACATTTGAAATCTGTCGTATTTAAAACGCAACCGGCGAACATTAGACGAACTAAGACAGAGAATAATTCAAGAATGTCGAAATATTGCAAAACCAACATTGGAAAGGTTCGACAAGAGTTTGAGAATAGATTATCACTGGCGATCAAAAATGAGTTGCTGTCGAGTCGGCTTTGGAAGTTCAAGTTAAATACGATTTTCCATGTTTATTTTTTGATTTGCACGACAATTACTAACCTAAATGTAATGCTATTTGGTATGGTTGGAAAGCATTTTTTCAGAGCTTTCCAACGACGTATCACACATGGGGGGTCCCTATTTAAGATTTAAAAGTTGGGGTGGCTGGGGCGCAGGGGGTGTGAGGGGGTGCGTCGCCAACTATGTCATTGTGATTCCCCCTTCGAATTACCGAAACGGATTTTGATTTTTTTAAATATCTCGTTTATTTACTAAGATATGGGGGGTGGTAAGTTTTCAAATTGTCACCCTGTATATAAAATTCATTTATCATAGTACAGGATTTGAATTATTTGACATTTTATAGAATTGTTGGAAAACCATACACTTGCCACTGTTGATGGACTTCAAAATATATCTCTTGGCTTGCAGTCTCTCGCATCTGCAATAAATAATTTAGCAGAAGCCATTCGTGAAGGGAGCCATGACAATCAAAAGTGATTTTACTTATTATTAAAAAGTATGTTGATAGACTGGAAAAAATAAAGGATATTATATTGTTAATTTCTTTACATCTATCGCAATATTCTAGATTTTTTGTGTATTGTAGAGCAGAAGCTAAAAAGGCAATCAAAAACGACTGGCCGTCAATATGAATTATACCTTAAGAGCGCGCTGCCGGAGTGGTGGGGATCAGCGTAGAAAACACACTTAAAACATGCCTTTAGATTTTTGTACAATTTTTAAAAACCGTTTGTGGTATCAGCCCAATTTTTTATATTAATTAGCAAGGACCAGCGCAGGAGGTAACGAATTTTCATCGATCTACATTGGCTATAAATAGGTTAATTACATTTTTGAAAATGGGCAATTTTAATTTTTTATGAAATCAAATATCCATGAATTTTCGTCATTGCCTTCTTGGGGTCATTACAAAGATAACACATAAGTTTCAAGTGATTTTATGGTCAATTAAAGGAAATTTGTACGAAAATTCTTCATTATAAAGTGACCCTAGTGGTGTTTCCCACAATATTTAGATCGAAAGCGAAACGCAAGTGCAGTGGTTCGCCTGTAGATGGCGGAGAAACATGGCGGGTTCTCATTTGAATTTAAATACATGACCACTGTAGTGAATATACCGCTCTCGTTCGTTCATAAGGCAAAAAGAACCCGCGAGCGCGACGCTGTAGGTCAGGGTAAATGTAAAGATTTCGGGATCGTTTCCGTTTTTTCAGAACCGTTAATTCAGTAGCAGGAAGGGACGAACGGAGCAGTTTCTTACAGGGGGGAATGTTAAAAATTTTCCAACTTTCGAAATTCAAATGCTAAAGAAACGCTACAACACGCAAAATCCAAGACTGAGACTGGGTCAAAATGGCATGGCTTTACTACCTATGATCACAGATTTATTACTATGATGTAGGAAGTCGGCATTGCTGCTTAATCCTTCATTCATTTCTCAACGAGATAGGTATGCATTCTATGCGAAGTCTAATAATTCGCAATGAGAGCAATTAAATATGATATGACATCCCACCCAGCTAGCACGATGACGTCAATATCACGCCATTTTGTGGTCATATAGAACGTCATTAATGACATATAAAAGACGTGACTTGGACGTAGGTATGACGTGATTATGTCACATCCCAATGACGTGATGTATTACGTCAATATTGACGTGATATATTACGTCAATATTGACGTGATATATTACGTCAATATTGACGTGATATTACGTCAATATTGACGTGATATTACGTCAATATTCACGTGATATATTACGTCAATATTGACCTGATATATTACGTCAATATTGACGTGATGTATACGTTACTATTGACGTGTGTGTATATATGTATATAGGTAATAAATAAAAATGCACATAACGTAACTATATATATTGAATACCACAAAAGACTTATATTAAATACAAAAAATATTATATTGCTTACTGTAGAAGACCATTGTCTCTTAATCTATATATTAAGTGTATGTAAAAGAGGAAAAGAAAAATATCCCTGTATGTGTGGAAAAAGAATACATTTCCCACTAACACTTGATAGTGGCCAAGTTTGTAACACTGATAGATCATTCACAACAAAAATGTTTAGCTTTGCCGAACTAAAAGGATATTCATACAGGGATGAGTATCTACAAAATATTTTACAAACAATCAAAATACTACCTTCTAATTGTGACACAAAATTATGAATTTGAATAACCTTGTCTTTAATCATACAATAACAATCAGATTTAGAAAATGAATAAATAGACAATATGAAATTTTTGAAATGAACCTTTTTAAATTGCTTACAATATGCTAATGAAATCGTTGGTCCTTGACAATGTTCAATTTGGGGTTTACCACAAATATCAATACCTGACTGCTGCTTTTCATCAATAAGAAAGCTAATTTCTTGTAGTCGTTTACATATTTGTTTTAATGGTTCTTTTGGAGATTTAATTAGCCGTTTTAACTGTCCTAAAAAGTTTTCAAGTGGGAATGCCGAAAAACAGTCAAGTGGCCCATACATGGCAACATCTGCTGGTAAATGAATTAAATTATGTACATTAAAAATTTGAAATTCAGCACCATACAAATGCTCGCTGTGTTGTACAAAGGTTTTCAAAAGTTGAAAAGCAGAGTCGCACCCAAATTGAACTATATGTTTTCTTGAACATAAGATTACTATCGCCGCGTGCAGTAATAAAAAATGCTCATATATAGCAATATCGACAACTTGAGGGAGAACAATAGGTCCTATATACAAAAGAAAACTACGAAATTCCGTTGCCTTAAAACGAGCTAACTCGCTTAAGGGGCGAGGTTTTCTGTTTATTTCTTGTGGAATATAATGTTTTAATGCAACCATTTTCCCAGATATAATTTGAACTGACTGGGATGATAATCTAACTTTGTAAATGCCACTCATCAATTTAGAAGTTTACGAGTGACTCCAAGGCAAACATTGTGCATATAATCTATTGGAAAGGATGTCACCAGTCCAATATTTAATTGTAATAGAGGAGAGTCACCCAAGTGATGTTCCTCATCTAGTTTTAATCTAAAACTCTCATCTGTTCTTAAGGTAGAATTAATATTATTTAATATTACCCTTCCGTTGAGATATGTTCCCGACACAGTACATTTTTCGCAAGAGGAATAGCCCCCATGTGATTTAATACATTTGAGATATCGCACATCTAGTTCAATAGTGCCATAAGTGCAAAAAATTCAAATTTTCACTTAAGTCCATATTGCTGTTCTTCTATGTCTAACGCATGCACTGCAATATAGCCATATGTAACATTTTAATATTATTCAATGCAGTGTAAGATATTTCCCTATTGCAGGTTCATAGTATTGTGGTGCAATAGAGCCGTAACTGTCAGTTGTGGCCATATGATTCTTGAATACTTGCGCATCATGGTGCGCTACCGCCGCAAACAACAGTTATGGCTCTATAGCATCAAAAACTATTTTGCCGCTATAATTATGACGCAGTTGCTTTCCTACCAACAACAGTGAAGTGTGTGTTTGTTTCCGCTGGCAACAGATTAATTTGGTGTTAAGTGAACAAATATTGTATCTTGAGCGAGTATTGCACATTCGTTTGTTATTATGTCTCGTGCAAAAAAGTTAGTAAAGTTGGCTTTAGATAAAGATAACATTGAAAACGAGGATCCGAAAGAGAGTGAGGTTCGAGTAAACAAACGCTTGGTTTTATAATCTCTAGATGTATTTGTATTTTAGAACACCTCTAAACCAAAGAAAACGTATGCTGAACTTCAAAATTGCCAGTTGGTACCTAACGTAATATTACAAGAAGTAAGTCTAAATGAATCTGTCATGATTCACGACAAATAATATTGTCATTTATTTGAATTTTTATTATTTTAGTATTCTACGAATCAACCCTTTTTATTGGACTTAGAGGTAGATTTTTCGAAATACAATGATCCCATTTTTGGATTAGAGGCACATAACGTAAGTTGATTTAACTTTAAATAACAATTATGTACTTATTTTTATATTAGAACTCAACAACGCTAGATTTACCAGGATGCTCAGGGAATACTGCAGTGTCAGAGATTAGTAATGGACATGTTGTGACTCCCTTGGACGACCAGCAAGCGGAGGAGGTGACCAGTTAATATCAGAATCTTCCCATATTACACTCATTTGCGTTCTAGATTAATAATGATGCAGCCATTTTTGACTCAGATGATTCCATTAATGATAAAGATTACACACCTTCAGGTGATGATTCTAGTTCACCAGAAAACACAAGCTCTGAAATCGAAGTGAACCCTAATAATGATGTAGAAAAACGGATTATCGCTGAAGCTCAAGATGAAAAGAAAAAACCACGTAAAATAATCGCTAGGCCCGAAACTTGGAAAAGGAACGTGAAAAAAATGAGGGTAAATTCAGGTTTGCCCTATGTGTCTGAAGGTAATAGGGAGATTCCTGGAAAACGTTTAAAACCTCCTTGTACAACAAAATGCAGGTCAGCGTGTACTACTAAATTTACCGATGCTGATAGACTAACTATTCACACTTGTTTTTGGAAACAAGGAGATAATGCTCTTCAAAGACAATTTGTAAGTAGTCACATGGAAACTCTAAAAGTAAAATACCGTCGAGCCATTGAGGGAAGTAATCGCAGTGAAAATTTGTGTTATTACTTGACGCTGCGAGGAATTAAAATACAAGTGTGTAAAACATTTTTCATGAACACCCTGGACATTGGTGATAAGTTTATAAGGACAACATGGAAAAAATCGAATGGTAATGCTCTGATAGAAAGAGATCGAAGAGGAAACTTCAATAAGAGGGAAACAATCAATACTTCGATTAAAGAAAAAATTGTTGCTCACATCAACTCTTTTGAACGAATAGAATCTCATTATCTCAGAGCACAGACGACACGTGAGTACATAGACGGATCTTTAACGATAGCGCAAATGTATCGATACTATAAATCCGAGCAACAGGCTGAAGGGTTGCCAGTTGCCAAAAAATGTACCTATGAACACATTTTTAAAACCCAATTTAACATATCATTTTTCCAACCTAAAAAGGACCAATGTGCAATTTGCGAAACCTTTAAAAATTCTGATACAGACGAAAGATTGTCGCTTCAGAAAGGATACGAACGGCACATTAACAACAAAATCAAGAGTAGAGAAGAAAAGGCTCGAGACGTCGAGAAAGGAAAACAAGATTCTTCCTTTAAAATAGCCTGTTTTGACTTACAAGCGGTTTTACCGACGCCTTGTGGAGATGTTTCCACATTTTATTACAAATGCCGTTTAAATTGTTTGAACTTCACAGTTTTTGAAATACCATCGAAAAGAGGGTTTTGTTACTTTTGGCATGAGGCGATTGCTAATAGAGGTGCTAATGAAATAGCAACTTGTATATTACATTATTTAAAAACGGAGTGCAAAGGAAAAGATGTCATCTTCTATTCCGACAACTGCGTAGGGCAAAATAAGAACAAAATGATTGTTTCTATGTATCTCTGCGCAGTTAACAAATTTGATGTCAAAAGCATTACACATAAATTCCTTACGGTAGGCCATACCCAAAATGAAGGAGACTCAATGCACGCCAGTATTGAGCGCCAGAAGCGTAGAGTACTAAGAAGTGGCCCTATTTATGTACCGTCACAATGGGCTCCAATTATCAGAGCGGCCAAGAAAGAAGGTACACCCTACATCGTGAATGAACTTGCCACAGAAGATTTTCTGGATTTTAAAAAATTTAGCGACACAATTGGGAAACATTTTTCAATTAATTCCAAACAAGAAAAGGTTGTGTGGAATGAGATTCAAGTTCTACGCGTAGAAAAAAATTATCCAACGTCGTTTTTTTATAAAACTGACTTTGACTTCCTTGAATATGAACAAATTAACATCCAGGAAAAACTAAGGCGTTGCATTGACATTAGCGCATGTTATCCCGAAAAGGCCTTTGTAAAAGCCCCATCGATATCTCAAAAAACTAAAGAACATCTTGCTTATTTATGTGCAAAAAATGCTATTAAAAAAGTGTACCATGGGTTCTATAATAACATAATTGGTGAAAAGTAATCGTTTAACTTTTTTAGAGTATAATGAACGTGCTTTTATATACTTTTATATATTTTTTACTTTTGAATAAAAAAAATATTTCAGTTAGTAATTTACTGCAATAACGCCACAACTACTAGAAAACTATTTGGTTTTATGCACGGGTGGTTCAAAAGTGGTGGACGCAATATGGCCACAACTAACAAAATTATACTTTTAATTAATCCATTGATAATGGTATAAATTAAAATCAAAGTATCACATTAAATAATCAATGTATGACAAGGCGCACAAAAATCGATAGTAATATGCAATTGTTATGGTTGGATATCTAAACAGCACTAACTTTATTTGCACGTACTCTAACATTGTTGTGTTGGCACTTGCGGCACTATTGAACTAGATGTGCGATATGAACGTGCGGGTGCATCACAAATAAAGCAATTAATTAATACTTTGTAATGAGTGTTATTGTATTCAAAACCATTTTCAAGTAAAGAAGACAGTTCTTTTATAAAGTCTTCCAAAAAGTCAGCAAGTTGTTTAGGCTTCGAGTTTCCACAAAATATAGCAATTGCAAATGGTCTATTTACTTCAAAATTTTGTACTACTCCCAAAATTGGCCATAACTGCAAATTAGAACTCTTAAATAGTGGTAAACCATCAATATTAAAACCCAGTTTTAAGTTAGTTTCTAAAAAATTGGGATACCTAGACAGAAATACTTGTATTGAATTTTGAAGGCCGAGATATACTAGCTGTCCATTTTCTAAAACTCGCACATTATATGTGACAGGGTTTTTTAAAAGAGTCCTAGCATCCAGAGGTAACTCTGGATGAAAAGGAGCCAATGCATGAAGAAGAGAAGTGACCGATGAATGAGGTACACTTGTATTCGAAATAGCCCCTTAATTGCTTTTGTAATACTTATTATTTATTAAGTGATAATTCATAGTTGTGTAGTTTATGTAAATATATTTGTTTTCGTTAATCGTTGTGACTGCAACCCCAATACAAAGGCACTACAGTGGTGACTCCGAATTGAATTTTAAAGTGGTGCAACGTGTATTTGGAAAAAGACATCACGACCGGTTTGCCCACGTCACGCCGCCCGCCATATTGAACTTTCGCCTAATCGCGGTAAAAGCATGGAAAACACTAGCGCGGAACAAATCAAAGCCGAGACGAAGACAGAAGTGCAACAACAAATCGTAGCCGCATCTCGACCCCTGATTCCACCATGCGGTGGTACAAGGCCCGACGTTTGGTTCGCTATAGTCGAAGCAAACTTTAACCTGGCAAATCCAAAAATCATAAGGGAAGAAACGAAATATTCCTACGTCCTTTCCGCTTTAACACCCGACCTGGCAAACGAACTGGCTGACGTCATGATCGACCCACACCCCACGGAGCCTTATACAAAATTAAAGGCAGCCATCTTGAAGCGCACATGCCTCTCGGAAACGCAGAAGATCAAGCAACTGCTGTCGGGACAAGAATTGGGCAACAAAAAGCCGACACAACTCCTACGGCAGATGAGATCGTTGGTCGCCAACACGACATATGTAAATGAGCAATAAATGAGCAATTCTTGCGTGAGTTATTTTTACAACAAATGCCGTCTACAATACAGCCGACCTTGATTTTTATTATGATTTCTTAAAACGACACCAGGATCTAACCTTACGAACAGCAGAGTCTACTAGTTTGCAGCGTGCATCAGGTTTTAATAAACAACAGGTTGATCGCTTCTTTGACAAACTATATGAGCTCATGAACAAGTACTCTTTCGCACCGTCCAGAATATTTAATTGTGATGAGACAGGCGTCTCCTGCGTGCATACAAACCAATTAAAAGTATTGTCAGTTAAAGGAAAAAAGCAGATAGGGAAATTAACTTCAGGGGAGAGGGGAAAGAATATAACGGTGCTATTAACAATTAATGCTGCAGGAGATCAGTTTATTGCTCCACTATTTATATTCCCAAGGGTTCGCATGGATAACGACCTTAAAAAGGACCCTCCACTTCCAAACAGCTTTCAACAGCTGAAGTGGAACAGTTTCAGTTATGCACACCCAAAGTGATTTTGGAAAATATTATGCCGCTTCGCAGTACCTCAAACATCAAATTTACCATTCGAAAAAGACGCGAGGATCAAAGGGAAGTGTTAACCTCCACTCCCTATAAGACACAACTAGAAGAAAAGCGACAGTGTCCACAGAAAACTAAAAGGAACTTAAAGGTCAATCAGACTTCAACAAAGAAGCCCAAAAAAGTAGGGAAAAAGGTAAATGCGGTTGAGGAAAAGATATACTGTGTGATTTGTGGTGAAGATTTTAACGAGGACTGGATTCAATGTGGCACCTGCAAGGGTTGGGCACACGAACAATGCGCCAATCTTGATAGCGACCCTTTATTTTACAAATGTGACGTTTGTAATCAATAACAAAAAGAATCAACCGAGTTGCATGTTGGTGAGACACTTATTTTTAGAACATGGTGTCCGATACTACCCGCCACATTTCAAATTTGTATAAATAAAATGAAGTTTTATATTTGAAATATCTCCTTTTTGGTTACGTCTTTTACTAATTTGTTTTGGTAGATTATTATAATAATTAAACACTGCATTTGTAGTTTTCTTAATACTTGGAATATGATATATATTTTTTAATTACCTTAAGGGCCGGTTTATTCATCTGTCCAGTAAAGTATCCGTTAGTTATTTGTTCACTAAACTTAAAGGTAACCCGTAAGCAGTTTGTGTTTATTCAGCGTATTTTATTCGTTCAGCACTTACTGAACAGTTAGCGCTAAGTGTGAGATAAGGCAACAGTGTATTTTCTGTGGTTTGTGCGATTTTTGTGACTCTACTAATGAGTTCTATAGTTGTTTTTGTCAGATGACATTATACTGTGCATCAGCTGTGTATCTTGTTTGGTTTTTCCGAGATTTTGATTGTTAAAAGGAGATTGTTAGAAGTTTTTAGTTAAACTAAACGCTTTTTTTATTATTTAATAATGTCGAAAACAGGTACGTTTTGTAAAAAAATATTTTAATTTTTGTACTAATTACATTAGGTATCTAGAAAATAAAAGAAGTCGTTCGACGAATTTTTCTATAACATTCCTCATAGAGGAAGTATTAAAACGTGCCCAGGTAATAGAAAATAAAAGGACCGATGCTATTACTTGGAAGCAGAAGGAAGCAACTTGGGAAGATCTTGCCAAGGCTTTTAACACCCTTACTGCGGGCAACAGATGTGTGAAAGTGTTGAAAACTAAATACGATGCTATAAAAAGAAGCATCAAGCAAAAGCATAATAAGGCGAGAGCTGAACAGTTTAAAACCGGAGGTGGTTCGGCAGAAACAATTTCTTATACTTCATGGGAGGAGAAACTTCTTCAAATAATGTCACTGAGTGTGGAGGGCCTTTCATCCAAGAACGATTCTGACCAAGGTAGATTTGAACATATTTCTTTATCTGCTTTTATTGATTATTTATTGTGTTGTAGTTAAAAGTTACGCAACAGTTGTGATGCCACAACAAAACATCGACATTACTTTTGTTGATAATTTTGATGAAGAAGACGTCATGTCAGAATTCATTGAAGTGTGGCCAGAGGCAAACGTGTCAAGGCCTGATGAAAACATGGCAAGGCCTGATGAAAACGTGGCAAGGTCTGATGCAATCGTGGCAAGGCCAGAGTCAAACAAAGCGAGGCAGGAAGATGGTGAAGCAACATCAGCACCCGTTTTACAGGAACTTCAGATTAACACAGGTAATTTGAGGTGTTCTTTCCTCACTCAGATATTTCCTTAATCACTTATCAAAATATGTTGTAAAATAAAATTATTTTCAGGTTCTATTACTTGGGATTCCTGGACCCCTTCCACTTTAAAAACACCGAGAAATAAGAAATTAAAAACACCTTCCGGAGGAAAAAGACCTTTTGATGCTTCTCGCTTGGAATCCTCTCGGAGAGAGTTAATAGAAATGCAAAAATTAATTGCAAAAAAAGAAATTGAAAAAATAAACTTACAATTAGAATGTACTCGGAAAGAAGATGCTAGGAAGGAAGAGGAGCATAAATTAAGGAAAAAAATTTTAGAACAAGAACTGGACCTTATAAAATTAAAAACTGAGAAAGAGTTAAATAATTAATATTTATTATTTTACAAATTTCATTGATAAATAAATATATATTTTTGAACAAAAAACAAAAAATATTTTATTTACAAGTTTCTAAAGTAGTTTAAAAAATCTGCACGATGGAAATTATTATTATTATCAATATTAACAATATTTTCTTCTAATTCTACCACATTTTCGTTTCCTAGGAGTGCTTCATTCTCTTCAATAATATTGTTTCGCGCAATATTATGTAAGACCGCTGTGGCCACAATTATGTCTTGTACCATTGGTATCCTACACCTCAAGCCAATCGAAAGACAAGGGAAGCGCCGCTTCCAAATGCCGAATGTTCTTTCTATTGTGCCTCTGGTTCTAATTTGAGCCTCATTAAAAAGATTTTCCACTTCATTTTGAGGATTTGGAATTGGTGTAATCATGTAATGTCTTAGTGGATATGCACTATCACCTAACAATACAGTATTTCTAAATTCGTTTCCTTCGAAGCGTAGTTTAATATTGGAATTGTCAAAAATATTGGCATCATGGGAAGAGCCAGGCCATCGAGCAACTATATCTCGAATCTTGTAACTGGCATCACACACACACACTGCACATTTAAGGAAAAGAACCCTTTTCTATTCCTAAAAACTTCTGCATTTGGACCCCCTAAAAGGTACAAATATATTAATGATTTTATGTAAGTACCTTGTTTAAACGTACCAGGGCTTTGAATTTTTATATGTGTGCAATCTATTGCACCAAGAACTCTAGGAAAACGTGCTATCTCCTGAAACTGTACTTGTTCACGGGTCTTTTCTTCCTGTGTAGAAGGCATACAAATAAATTGTTGTTCCAAACTGGCTAGTTCAGAGGTAACCCTATGAATTATTTTGGCAGCAGTTGACTTATGAATATTTCCAAAATCTCCAATAGATATATAAAAACCACCTGTTGCATAAAACCTGAGAGTTAACAAAAGCTGTTGCAGTGGCGGAATCGGATTGTTTCTAAAAAATTTCATTGTTATCGAAATGGTTTTCTAACATAGTTTACAATAAAATACCTTTCAGATTGGTGTAAAAGTCTTTCTTCTATGAAGGCTAAAGTTTGTACAACCGAATTTTTTGTTAAACGAAATCTATGAAAAAATTCAAGATCATCCCAACAGTTTAAATTGTCCCATTGGTGAAATCTGTTTTGGGTAGTATAAGGTCGGCGATCGTTAATCTCGTCAAGAAAAAGATTTATGTCGTCTATAACATCCATTTTAAAAAAATTAAGTAAAAACACAAAACACGCGAAAAACAATTTTAGGTTAGAATCTCCTCTGTAATTCTTTAGTGACAGGTCCAAGTGATTTGTAAGTTAGAGTCTTCAGTATCTTTTACTTACTGAAAAGTTGGCGCTACTAGAAGATGAATAAACACTTACGGGTGACAATCCTCTCAGTAACGCTACGGAACACTTTACTGAAAGGTGAATAAACCGGCCCTAAGTGTCCGATACCTCCCGACCTTCCCCTAAGCCTGACTTCTGCTCCACTGGCACGAACTTTTGCTTGTCGTCGCCTCTTCATTACCGACAAAATAACAAAAATCAAATTTCTAGTCGACACTGGGGCCGACTTCTGCATTCTGCCGGCAAAATACAAAAACAACCCTTTTTACAGCGCTACATTTACATTACAAAGTGCTAGTGGTTCGAACATTAAAATATTTGGTGAAAACACAAGGACTTTAAAATATAGGTTTAAGACGTGCGTTTAAGTGGAACTTTCTAATTGCAGACGTGACAGACGCTATCATTGGCGCCGATTTTTTAGAACATTTCAAATTATCGGTAGATCTGCATGCTAAGACACTTGTAGATAAAGAAACGTCCCTAACGGTACAGTGTCCGGTGATGCGCTCAGATGAAACGGGAATTCATGCAGTGTTTGTAGACATCGCCCATCGTTTCGACGCACTGCTTCGCAGATATCCTGACATCATACGACCAAATATTCAGGTACAAGACCCAAAGCACAACGTGCTCCACTACATAGAAACCAAAGGCACACCAGTCTCGCACAAACCACGTAGACTTCCTCCGGAAAAATACAAGATAGCGAAGAAGGAATTTGAAGATCTTCTCCAAGCTGGTATCATACAGCTCTCATCATCTCAGTGGGCTAGCCCAATGCACATGGTCCAAAAACCAGATAAGTCATGGCGCATCTGTGGAGACTTCCGAGCCTTAAATGCAAAGACAACTCCGGATCGATACCCAATCCCGCACATCCAGGACTTTAGTCATAGCCTAAAGGGTAAAATATTCACTTCGATCAAAGCGTATTACCAAATTCCTGTTAATCCTGAGGACCGCCCGAAGACAGCAATAACGACTCCATTCGGCTTTTTTGAATTTGTTCGAACATGTTTCGGTCTTCGCAATGCTGGCCAAAC